TGCGTGGGGAAAAGGCTGAATTCTTTACGTAGCTTTTTCAGACACTGTCTCAAGGTAGGATCACTGTCCTCGAGAAAGCAAACTTGCCCATAGCATCTGGGAGTGAGGGTCACTAGCATGGGAACATCCTGCACATTCTTAAACATAAGTGAATCAGCTTCGATTTGCCAGATAGATGGGCCGTTTAGTGGTTCATAGCAAAATGTAATAAACTAAATAATTGTGGCCTTTAATGTAATCTCATACAATCCTGTTACATCTCAATTACTTTTTTGACCCTTTCAGGATAGTTCTTGCCTTAAACACACACAATTTGTAGCTCTAAATGTCTTCTCCCAGTGTTATGCTGAGGAAATCAATTGATCAAGACGAATTAATATCCCACTCTGTCTTCCACTTGTGGTGCATGCTGTCTCAGGGAAGGCATGAACGCAGGCCTCCTGGGTGTAATAAATGTTTATCAAGCATTGTTTGTAAAAAGCGCCCCATTTTCCCATTCCTATGACTTTTAGCATCTTAACACCTCTTATTTCTCTTAAATTAACAAATAAATCCAGGATCAATTCTATTGCCATTTCACACATCATAAAAGGTGTGAGGAAAGCTGGTTTCCACATATGTTTTTATGCTAGAAGGAAACAGCCTGTGGAATTAAGTTTATAATGTGTACAAGGGTGACAGTGGAAATTATGCAATGTGGAAAACTATGAGCATGACAGTCTGTGGGCAGAACAGTCAGCAGGGACCTGAATCTACAGTCACTGTCACATAAGTTTGCCAAATGGCTAAGAAAATAATAAATTATTGTGTTTATCCAAAACTAATTTAACTACCATGTACTGACCATATACCTGGCTCAAAGATATATTTGAGGTAAACAAAGTAGAGGAAGATACCATGACTGTCCTCTGGAAGCTTGATAAGGATGGATGCAGGACTGAGCAATAGTACTGAGGGATTGGAGCCAGAAATAAGCAGTACCTGGATCAAGGTGCTGTGGGCTCTGAGTGGAAAAAGCCAAGAGGAGGAGAGGGTGATCAGGGTCCTGAGGGCTGAGTGGGAGGTGCAGGGCCTGTAAACAAGGGGAGAGTCTCTCATGGTGAGTCCCAGGAAGAGGATTCATTCTCAAATTGCAGGCCTGTTTAACATTTTGACTCTGTGGCATGATACGGCCAATGGCAAAATCCACCCTTGAGACCCCCACAGGAGCCACCTTCTCCCCAAAAATCTCCTAGTATTTCGAGTAAGTTTAGAATTTTGTGTTAAGCCACGTTCATAGCCATCTTGGGCTGCACATGGGCCACAGGGTGCGGTTGGACATGCCGGCAAAGGTAATAAAAGCCATTTGAAAACCGTTCCTGTCTCTGAAGAATCTTTGTGTTTGAGGTTTATCAGGGCGACATTCATTTGTAGCTCCTCTAAAAGCCATGATAGTGCTTCCAGCAGGTGACAATTTATTTGTTTAGAGCAACGGAAGTGTGATTTTTGCCATCTAGATCTGGGAGGACAGCTGGTGAGGTATTCGCAAGTCTCGCTTTTTTGCATTTCTACCATCCTTTCATAGAGGATTATGATAGCCTTATCCCTCAGATGTGTTCTCCACAGTTAAAGACTTGAGGCTGTGGCTCCAGGATCAAGGCCATGTCAGAATCAGGAAGACAGAAGAGAAGGAAAGGGTAAAGGCATACCGTAGTGGAGGCTGCCTTTAAAAAGCTTTCCTGGAAGTTGCTTCTTCAGACATTGTGTTACTGGCCAGCACTTGGTTCCATGACCATCCCACGTAAGTGCTAAAGAGTCCAAGAAACAGCCAGACTCTCCAGCCAGATCTAGGATGGGTACAGAGAATGGGTCTCTGCATCATCCTCGTACGGTGAGCCAGCCAAGTGGAGCACACAGGTGTCATGTGTAACAGATCTAAGCCCAAATCATACAGCCATAGCCCTCATGGAGGGCTGGATCTTGAAGAGGCAAATACAGTTCTTGTAAACTCTTCATTCTGTAAATGAGACAACTCCACTCAAGAGACCAAAAGACTTGCCGAGAGTCTCAGAGGGAGCTCGTGAAAGCTGAAACTTGAATTCAGGACGTCTAGTTGCAGTCTTAGTTCTTCTCAATTATGTACAATGATCTGCTGACCTCCGGTTATAATTTAGAGTTTGTATCTATCTCAAGTTAAAGTATACTTAAAAAATTACTGAAAGTTTCTATAATTATTATGATGAAAATAGAAAAACAGGCAGAAACACAAACTGAGGAAACAAAACATCATAGGACTCTTGAGTAAATCATTGTCTTTCCGTATGAGAAAATTGGTTCCAGAGCGATGCCCCTAGGACACCAAAATCCTTGAGTGCTAGTCACATATGTAAGACGTGTAGTGTTTGCTTGTTCCTCAAACATCCTCTCATATACTTTAAGTCAACTCTAAATCGTTTACAATACCTAACATGGCTATACATTCAGTTACAGTATTCTGTTTAGAGAAAATGACAAGAAACATGGGTACATGTTCAGTTAAAATGTAATTTAAAAAATTATTTCTGACTAACGTTGGGTTAAGCCATGAATGCAGAACTCCTGCAGAGCCCCACTGCATGGGTAAGCTAGCTCAGTGCAGTGTGAGTAGTGTGGTACCTTTTTTAATCCCTAGATTTTGCCTTTTCTAAACAGAATATAACTGTGCTTTTCTAGGCTTTCTCCTAACCCTTCCATGTCTTTAAAAGCATGGAAGGGAAAAATCCACAAAGCAGTTTTTCTCCCCTTTGTAGTGACAAAAGCCCAGTGTCAAACTGTATGTCCTGTTGTAAGAGAAGCCCATTGGCCATCTGTGGTATGACTGAGTTCACGCAGGATTTATTAAAAGCACTGATTGGAAGAAATGCTAAACGGCACCGTTACAGTGCCTGCCTCAGGAAGTGTGTGTGCAAAACCTTGCCTTCCACTCCTCAACATGGGTGCCATACATAATAGACACACACAATTACCTGTTTCTGTGAGTTTTTCCCGTTAGCACATGTTCATGCACATGACTCCAGGTAGCCTCTTTTTAAGGGTATTAGTAGCGTATTCTCACTTCATTTCAGGTTTTATTAATTGATTTTCTTTTTGTACCTCAGCAGCTTTTTTTTTTCAAGAGCTAGTTACAATTTACCCAAGTCGTCTTATTGTCTGCTATAAATTTTACCACTTTGACTTGCCTGTTTTTGAAGCCACATGACAATTAGTGGCCTCTGACAAACCACAAAAGCAGGTAGAACTTTATTATCATTCCATAGCATAAACTTATATTCAGCATATTATAAGCATCTAGGTATTAATTGAGGCATTTTGCACATGTCTTTTGTGGAATTCCAGGCAAAGTATGAACATGGCTATGTTCCCTTGGAATGAATATGAACTACAGACAGGCTGTATATATCATCTTTACTACATAGGTGGATGTGCTGGCTAGTTTTATGTCAACTTGACATAAGCTAGAGTCATCTGAGAGGAGGGAGCCTCAATTGAGAAAATGTCTCCAAAAGATCAGGGACTATGAACAAGCCTGTAGGGCATTTTCCTAAATTAGTGATTCATGGGGGAGGACCCAGACCATTGTGGGTGGTGCCATCCCTGGACTGGTGATCCTGGGTTCTATAAGAAAGCAGGCTGAGCAAGCCAGGAGGAGCAAGCTAGTAAGCAGCACTCCTCCATGGTCTTTGAATCAGCTTCTGCCTCCATGGCTTCTGGATCAGCTTCTGCCTCAAGGTTCCTGCCCTGCTTGAGTTCCTGTCCTGACTTCTCTCAATGGACTGTGATTCAGGATATGTAAGCCAAATAAACCCTCTCCTCCCCAAGTTGCTTTCTGTTATGGTGTTTCATTGCAGCAATAGTCACCCTACAGCAGGGTGTAACAGCAAGCGTGGAGGACATGTGGCATACAGTCCAGAAACTGCACTGAGGCAGTGGGATGGGGCAGAACAGAAGCCAAGAAGCCACACAACAGGAGCTAGACGTCCTCGGAAAACTGGGTGTCTGAAACTCGGAACTGCTTTTGTTTTTATCTGACAAATTTTGCACAGTTTACAAATGTCCTTTCACTGATATGGCTTTATTCCGTGGGGTGCGGTCTGCTGTGGGGGCATTCACAAGCCTTGCAGGGATTTGTTTTAAGGAAGTAGCAATTCAAGCAGGGACATGGATGACAGCACTAAAGATTGCCAGGTAACTAGTGTTTCATCACCTCCATTTCCTTTATCAAGGCCCCCACATGGCTTGCAGGAAAGTTTTTAAGAGTAGGGAAAACCAAAAATAGTGGAAAGGAGGTGTGTGAGCAGCCAGGGTTTGACTTTGTGCCTACCTTGGAGCGGAAGCCCTGGCACATGTTAACCAACAGATACAGTAGCATGTCCACAGTAACACTGTATGATTGCTCAAAACTGGGGCTATGCAAAAGGTGTTTCCAGGAGAATGAATAATTGAATAGTAAACGAATAATAACAGATGATGAGACAGCTATATGCTGTGGAACAATGCACTAAAATGAAATCATTTAAAGCTCCATTAGCAATATGCATGAATCTTGCCAATAATGATATCGATCAAAAAGAGCCATACAAAATGTTATTTGTTCTCCTTTGCACAAAATTCAGAGATGGGCAAACTTTAAAATGCTGGAAGTTAGTCCAAAGCATGGCTACTCTGAGGAGAGAATGATTGAAAGGAAATGGGGGTAGGGTACTAGAATTCAGGTGTTTTGTTCTTGGGTCTGGCGGGACAGAGCATTCACTGTGGGAATGCATTGAATTTTAGGCCTGGGACTTGGCTTTGCTAGACTTCAATTATAAGTTCAAAAATGTTAATAGATGAGACTTGACCTGAATTGCTACTACAGACTTACACACACACGTGACCCTGGAACTCATATGCTGAAGTTCACAATGAAGGTGGGTATCCCAGTGATATAAGACAATGCTGACGTTTTTCCAGAGTAATTGTTATCCTCTCCTTTGCCTTTGTAGAGTTATTTTTGCCAGTTGATCAGTATCAAACCAAGTCAGCGAGCTGGTTGGTTAGCAGTAGATCATGGAGAAGTTCCTCACATATCTGTCAGGTAGGATGATCATGCTTATTCATGGTTTGCTGGATGATTATGATGAGAACTGCTGTGCTGCTTGTAACACACCTAACACGACATCTGCAACATGCACACATATGAACAGAAATTTGGTTTCTTACTTTTTCTTTCTTTGCCTTTATTTTCCATTTTTTTCTGTAACTCTTTCTTTAAAAGCACCAGTGTGGACAATATTGGTTGGAATGAGAACCCCATTCCTGACAATGCAAGTGGAGGGCCAGACTAGTGCCCACCATATGGTAAGTCCCCAGTGATGTGACATCTGTCTGTCCATCCATCCATCCATCCATCCATCCATCCATCCATCCATCCATCCACCCACCCACCTATCCATCCATCCATCCATCCATCCATCCATCCATCCATCCATCCACCCATCCATCCATTTACCCATCCATCCATCCATCCATCCATCCATCCATCCATCCATCCATCCATCCATCCATCCATTTACCCATCCATCCATCCATCCATCCATCCATCCATTTACCCACTCACCCATCCATCCATCCATCCATCCATGCATCTGTCCATCTATTAATGACTGAAAGATTGTATCACACAATCTTTGGACTTTCTACAACAAAACCATTACCTGCAGAAAGGAGTTGACAGTTATCTGTGTCTCCATTCTCCCCACAAAGATGATTCACTCTCTTCTTTCTTTGCCTTTCTCATTCTTTCATCTAATAACATTTAACTTTTCTCTAGCAAGGAAAATTGTGGTGGAGTGTTTATTGGAGGTCACAGGGACAGGACCACTGAACCTGTGGCTCCTGTTTTAAGGCCCCACCTTCCTCCCAGGAGGGCATTGGTCTAACACCAAGGCTGGCCAGGTGTTAACACTGCCTCAGGTGCACGCCCTCTAGTAACTGGCTGACTTGCCCCGAAATGTCCATCTTCCATATTTCAGCATCATCATATGTACAAGCACTTGAGAAACTGAGGACAAAATGAGCTCTAGGAGGTTGGGTAGCTGTGTCTGTTTCTAAAGGTCTTGCTCAGGGCTGTGCATGGTGAGGTGGAAAAGTCAATACCACTTTACTGCTTTTCAAAACATCTGGGGAGATCATGCTATATCCCTGAGCACTTGAAGAAAGTGTGAAGCACCGGCATTGGGCAGTTTCTCTGTCCTTTGTTCATCTGGCTGGTCATTCAGCTGAGAACAGGCTCAGATGTACAAGGCGACTCTGGACTCCAGCCCTATTACATGGCACCTGCATTCATACCTGTCAGAGCATTTAGCTCTTCAAATGCTCCTTTACTGTATGCAATAAAGTCAGAGGATGGGGGTCCCTTCCCAGTTGAGGGGGAGGCAGAGAAGGGAAGCATGCCTTACTCTGTGTCTGGTACGCAACAGAGATTACATGGTTCTTGTTCCTAGACTCAAACCGAATTCCTATTTCTTCTTTCCAGACCCCTGTCAGCATATATTTTGAAAACAAAATGACTCATTGGCTTTCCTAAAATATTTCCTCTTTCTGGACTCAGGCAGCCAGCCGAGGGAGAGTGTTTGCTAAGTGGGGGAATTATGTAGCTCTGCCTGCTCTGTGCTGATAACTGCTCCTGAAATCAAAACACGGCAGCCTCATATCACTACCCAGAACATACTGGAAAGGCATGGCTATTTCTGGAATGAAAAATGTGAACACCAACTGGTTCATTTTCCACAGGCTGGAAGGCCAGGGCTTCCTTACCCTCAAGGCTGGGTGGTAGACTGAAAGTGTGTCAGCTATCACCTGGCTGGGCTAACACCAAGGGGAGAATTAAGATGACACCGACCTCTCCAGGGGGCGATGTGCAGCAGCAGGAATGGAAATTATGTCATTTATTTGTATTTTACACTCTATGAGCAATTGCAGGAACATTTATAATCTTCTATTTTATTTGAATTTGCCCATTTCTACAATCACAGGATTAAATTCCTGTGGTTTTTAGATGTAAGAAAGCATCAGCTCCATTTTACAGACAAGGAAACAAAGTCAGAAGAGCAAGAGATCCGCAAGCATCAGCAGTGGGTTCTCCTGATAAACCCTTACACAAGCACAGCAGGAGGAGGGGAAGCCATGCCGAGCTTACAGGACCCACAGAATCCTGCTCCAGCCCAGGACTGGGCACTGTGGAGCTGTGTGTCCTTTGCTGGGTTAATTTAACTGAGCCGCAGGTTGCCAGGGGAGTGGGAATAACACCTGTTCTCCCGTGTGGACGTAAGCCACAGTTCCTGCAAAGCCCTCTGTGCTCTGTGGTTCATAGTGAACGCTTAGGGGCATTTCACTCTGGTCACCACTCAGAAAACATGGACTCTTTCAAAGGGTGTCACTTCTAGTTTTGTTAAAATAAAACTGAAACTCTGTGCAGGAGTTGGAGTCGTTTTCTAAGTTCCTCAGGAGTCAGTGTGAAGAAACCTCAGAACTTCCACGAAGGAGGCAGAAGCTGAGGCTAGAGGTTCATGAGAACCACAGCTCTAGGGATGAAGCCTGTTGTTGCCTTTACCAAGAGACAAAGACCTAGGCAGTCGGGACGGGGGACCCTGGAGAGCCGACTGTAGGGCTAGATTGATTCTCACTGTGGCTTCTACCAGATGTACAGGTAGAGGGGAGATGGTCTAGCCTTGGCTTCAGATCTCTGTAGCCAGCGGGTGAGGCTCAGAGCAGTGAGTTATTTGAGGGAGCTGCTGCTTCTTGGAGCTAGTGTGTCGAGAAGCATGGTTGGGAGGCTGAAGACTCGGAGAACGGAATTTGGTTTCCGCCAGCCTTAGCATTCTGATCAGGGACAGAATTCTTTCTGCTGACTCTTGCTGTTTCCACGTCGTGGAAGAGGCTCTACTGCATAATCCCTCTGGCCTCCTTTTTCCTGGCCTCTCCCTTGGGAAGGAGGAATGTCTGATTGGAAAAGCACAGCCTAGCCAAGCCCCTTTCTCTCTATTGTCTTTGGAGCATGAACATTCAGTTCAAACCCTTGGCAGGCTTTTCTCCCAAAATTAGCACCTGTCAGACCAGGTCTGCCCTAGACTGAATGAGCACAGCTGTTAAAATCTGAGATTCACTTTCAAAGCCTCGGAAAGTGATAAGCAGGCAGTGGGGGTGAGGAGGGGCGGGGCGGGGGCGGGTGGGCAGAGGCAACATTGCTCTTGTTCAGTTGTGAACTCAACAAACTACAACGCCAATCTGCCAGGCAAGATGTACCCATATATGTAATAGTAGACAGCTGTTCCGTGGTAACCAACTGCTCTCTGAATGTATTTGAGGCCTGCTCCACAGAAAGGACCCTATACCTGGAACTGTGATCCTGCCCCCTTCCCTCCCTCCCACCTCCCCCCAAATTAATGCTTCAGCAGGTCATAGGCCCTTATGGGGAATATTACTACTGATATTTATTTAGCTAAGTAGACATAACTGCCTTCAAAATATCTACACAAATACCTACTTTCAACCCGAGCCAGAAGAGCTTCTGTTTGTAGTGAATGATAGTGAAGGCAGAATCCAGGCTGCCCAAGATGTCAAGAAAAAGTGATCGATGAGGACCTTAATTGTAAACAAGCCATTTATACTAATCCCTCCGTGGATCAGGGATCATTCTGGAAGAGGGAACAGAGAGAACATAAGATCCTGAAGATAGGGAGAAAGGCAACATAATCCCACCCTCTACACATGACACAACCAACTCGATACTTGTGCTAGGCCTGCACAAGACAGGCCGTGTCAGCAGGTAGTCACAGGTGGGGTAGGGTTTCACGGGACCCTCGGCCTTACTGCCGAATTACAGGCCACTAATGGACTCCGGAGAGGGACCCACTGTCTTCAGTTATGTGACCATGGATGCACACAACAGACAGCAATGGACAGCTGCAATCCAAAGACCACACAATGACCCTGGTCAAACCCAGAGGGACAAACAGATAAAAGGACACAGATAGGGGAAAGAGACCAGACAGGGACGGGGAGAGGTTAGACAGAATAAAGTAAAAAGGATAAGTCATTATCAACGAAGGACAATGCTTCATTTACAATTGTAAAATCTTCAAATCTATGAAACATAAAATCTCATAAGTCATTTGGCAGCTGTCAGTCAAAGTGGTGAAGGGACTACTGAAGATTACTTGTCAGAGAGGAAAACAATGTCCCCAAGTGGATTTGGGCAGTCTTTAGCTCGTGGTACAGCATGCCATAATCGTCCCCTTTGCCAACCCTGCCCCACTAAATTCCTTAGGGTGATGTCATGTGGGTCAGAGTGGCTTTCTGCATTCCTAGAGGATCTGTGTCAGAGCTGGGAACTACAGCCTCAAAAACCTCCTGGTCTTATAAGGAAGCTGCCCACAGGCTTGCTAAGCCCTCCCCTGGGACATCTCTGAGGAAGGAGGTGTCATTAAACTTTACAATCCTGGAATTCACTGGGGAGGGGACATGGACTATATTACATTCAGTCTCTCCATCTCCCAAGTCATGTATTTACTACCCAATCTTCTGTGAAGAGAGCAGTGGGCAGACCAGTCATGCAAGAATGCTGAGAAGTCTCTGAGAACTGTCAACCCACAGTGGCAAACCCAGCCTGTACCGAGCAGCCTATTTAGATCTTTATGACGCTTGAGTATCAGTCGTGGGTTTTACTGCAGAAATGCGTATATGTTTAATAGTATCCACATAGTAAGCGACATAGGAAGAAATATTTGTTTCACCCCTCCCCCAGTTTCTGCCACAGAGCTTCTAGAAGTCCCATGAGTTTCCATGTCATCAGTGAAAGGAACATTTTTGTTTTGACTCATGACAAGCTTCTAAGACATCTGAAGTCTCAGGAGTAATGACAGTCTTTTCTATGCTAATGAAAAGATTAGAGGTTGGAGCCCAAGTCATCTTTGGGGTAGGGCTGGTCAACACAAAGACCTAGGCGTGGCTGGGGTAGTGGAACTTACAGCTCCATCTCTGACCTCCAAGCCTGTTCCTTCCCATGCTTGTGTCTAAGAAAGAGGCATCCTCTAG